TTAAAATATTTACAATAACAATACAAATTAGAATTGTGATAAATGACACAATTAATAGATAAATGATAGTCGAAAAAGTTTTTTCGTATTTTTTCAATAGATGCCGTTGCAGTCGTATACCTTCAATGCTGCTAATCACATTGTGGAGAGGTGAGATTTTAAGCTCCATTTAATCAAAATTAAATTAAATTTGGAGAAGTTTTAAAAAATGTACAGCTGTTCAAAAATTAGTGACAATAATGAAGATTTATTATTATAAATATAAAAAAAAAAAATAAGTTGAAATTTTATTAGAAATACGAAAAGACTTTTACGACTACCCAATATATAAGAAGTAGTGCTTATTTATGGTATATAGTCATATGATACTGATACACATACACGTCTTATAGTTCAAATCCCTTTAAATGACTAGTTAAATCGGTAGTATTGTCTAGTTGTCATTATTGTCATATTTTTGAAATTACATGCCGCGACATGTAGCCATAATTCACTATAAAATGGTAGTCCAGAAAGCTATCATTACTTTGACTACGACGGTAACTATATTCGACATAATGAGAGCTTCACTTTATGTATTTGTAACATATACAAATGAGTTACAAGAAATCTCTCGACAAAACCTTTCTATACTGATTGCTATAATATKATTCAAAACTCCCCTGAAAAGAGTTTCAGCGCACGCTGTTGTAAAATTAAATTTTATACGGTTTCAAAATACTTGCATATACACCAATGTGCAATAAAAAAGCAGCAACAATATTAAAATCACAAAATTATTTTAAATTTTGACTTATGCCWTGGTATTTATTTTTAAGATTCCCCAGTTTTCTTAGTTTTTGGCTGTTTTGACCGTTCCAGCTCAAGTAGTGTTGTGGAAAACTTTTTTAGATACTGAAAAGTCAACAGCCTACCATAGTATCACACTTTTTTTTTTGAAAATTCGTTTTTTTTTTATTCAACATGCAACTTTTGATATAATTTTTGTGGTATGATTTGTCCTTGGTTCAAATTAGGCCTCGGTTGCGACAATTACTTCTTCATTYGACGAAAAGTTCTTCACAGCGAGCATTCTTTTCAAATTTAAGAACAGGAAATATTCTTTGAATGCCAGATATGGAGAATACAGCAGACACGGAATCAATTCGAAGCCGATTTATGGTTTTTTGATAACGCTGTCATTGCCTTGTGACACAGTCGGTTGTCTAAGGGAAGCAGCCTTTTTTTCGATCGTTTTTCGTCGATTACGTCTTTCAAACGGTGCAATAACAGTATGTAATAGTCGTTGTATCCGGTGCTTCCTTATTCAAGATTATCAATAAAAATTATACCATTTCCAACCCAAAATGCAGGCGATATAAATTTGTTTTCCACGCTTTGGAGTGGTTTAGTTTTGTCCAGTTCACTTGGATGACTGTCTATTCGATTTCGGTGTGAAATGATGGAGCAATATTTCATCTATTGTCACATACCGATGCAAATAATTGGGTCTATTACACTTGAATATCTTCCAAACATTAACCCGTTTTTGTTTTTTTGTTTTACCGATCCAAATGGGGTTAGGTCGCCGAAAAAACTCGTATAGAAAATTTTTTATTTAACAAAATATTTTAACAAAATTTGGCATGAATTATTATTGCTCAAAGCAACGCTATCGTCTCTGAGAAAATTTTCAGTTCAGTTAGCTGATAGCTCTTTTCGTTTTGTGAAGGGTTTTCTAATTTCGGCATCCACAAGGTTAACGTTTTTTTTTTTTCATCACAAGCTCAAACATTCGCAATATGCTGAATATTTCATCGTTTTTCTTGTTGATGATTAAAAAAATTTTTAATTTTTAAAATTTTGAACGAAAAACGAAAACAAAAAATTATCGACATGTCATATTTGATCATTTTGTACAAATAACTAGAAGCTTCAAAATA